TGCAGGTTGCTTACCTACAATATAAATATTCTGAAATGAGCTTTCGCTCAGCAAGTAGGAACTATTACTCACAAAATAACTGAAAGTTCACATGACTATATATGCATGAACTAATTATGTTGACTTATGATGTTTTATCATAGTTTTACTGTCTGAATTTATCTTATTTACTTATGGGCCCGAGTGCTCGTACCACTTGCGCGCAATCATCGGGATGTGAGGGTTTGTAAGGTCTCTAACGACACCGTGATTATAAACTGAACTGAATGCCTCCCTCTCAAAGGACATTATTATTTTTTTTCTTCTCCCTTGCGGAGCTTGAGTTACCTCCCTCTCAGAGGCTGGTACGACACTCAGCTGAGTTTCTTCTTATAAGTTCCTCTTGACTTATTAAGGTGTATGCATAACATACTATTACTATAACATGAAATGTACTCAAACATATATAATTCATGTGCATTACTTAAATGTATGCAGTATGACATAACATAGCATACATAACTTTAAATGTACTCAAACATATATAATTCATGTGTACTGTTCATTTTCAAATCTATTTATACTGTAAGCGAGATTCCTACTTACCTGTTTTAGGAAGTAGAATCCTCTATTCACCAAAGAGTCTGTTCTCTTTCTTTCTTGCTTTTAAGAATGAATACCCATTAAGAGTGTGAGATTAACTATCACTTGCTATTCTATTTTAGCAAGCTTGAAAGAAAGTCTAACTTTTCTATTCATGGCTCACCTTCTCTTTTCCTATCTTAAGGATTGTAAAACCTTGTTTCTAATTCAAAGATTAGGTTTATTGAATCCTAATTACCTTACTTTTTATTAGCAAAGTCTGCAATCGACATACTTTCATGAGATTATACTTCAAGTTCTTCAGCGAACTCCTCTATTCAACACCAAAACTATTTTAACAGTTATGTAGTATTTTTTTCTAAGAAAATAGTTTAAAGCTTCTATTTAGAACTAAAACCAAGTTTAGCCTCAAATTCTAGAACTAAAACTAGGTTTAACCTCAAATTCTCAAACTAAATTTTGGCGGAGTTTAGCCTTATTTTCTGTATTTCCCAAGCTATCCTTAGCTCAATTTAATCGTTACTTCATCTTCTAATTATAGCTAACAATCTTTCTCATACAATTTAATCAACTTAGGAGCCATACTTTAGGGTTCCATCAAATTTCTCACAAGGATTTTCATATCTAAAAGTTGCTAGAAACATAATCTAACAACCACAAATTCATCATTTAATCACTAAGGGTGTGTTCGGCTGCCCAAAAAACTAAAAAAAAATGCAACTCGAGTTCCAATTTTATTCAAATTCATATTCTTTTAAGTTTGAACTCGAGTTTGAGACTAAAATTCGAGTTCAAGTGTCCCCTTCAACTCAAGTTCAGAAACTCTAACTCAAATTAATGAACAGCATTTTTTCTATTCTTAAAAATGCTATAACTTTTTCGTTTTAATCCTTATTGAGATGATTTTTTTTTCTATACGTTGACAACAAAAAGACGAATAAAACCCCACCCATATACCCTATTAAAATTTTTTATCACCATTGAGTTTTTATTAAAATACTATCTAAATACAAATTTAAGTTTTGACTCACTCAAACACAAACTCAAAAAAAGATTCTTATCTCAAACCATAACTCAAATGTAAACAACCAAACACAAACTCAAGTTACAACTTCAACTCAAATCATAACTCAAATTTAACTCAAAAACTACACTCAAGTCACACTCTAAAAGAACAAGCCATAAGCTTTTAATTCCTTCATCAATTGAAACACAATCATCAACTTAGCAAACTTTCTCCATACTTTAAACCATTCGGCCAAGGTAAGAAAAAGGAGAGGAAAACTAAAATCTCACCTTAGAAGAATGAAGAACAAACTCCGAAATCACCAATCCTCAGTAGTTCGATCAATTCCCGCTTAAAACTTGCTTTTCTTCACTTTTGGTAATTTTGTTTCTTCTTCTCTCTCTTGGATGAACACCCACGGTTCTTGACATGAAAAATGAACATTTGGAGATATTTTTATCTCTTAAAAACCGGACTTAATAAAGTGGGATGACTAAAATGGAATTTTGGCACTTTTGACGGACCTTTTTACAAAATTTCACCAAAATATCTCATTTCTTGGCTTCTTGTACAAGCTTGGCCGCCCACCTCACTAAGCAAGTGACATGATCTCAGCCCTTCATCTAAAAAGTTACTTTAAATCTCAACAATTGATCATTTAATAATTATCCTATTTTAGTTCAGCTTAATTTCCTGTCTAGTGCGCGTTTTATCTGTGTTTTTCAGACAGTTTGTCAACTTAGTCAACTTTGACCATTCTTGACTAACTTTTTGAGAGTGACATTTTGGTCGACTCTGGCTCAATAAACTTTGACTCGGTCAACTTAAATCAGTCGAAACTCTAATTTTCTCGGTTCGACCTTCCGGACCCATCTTTCCTCCGTTTTTCGTTCTGATCATTTCTAAAACCTTAAAATTGATATTTTTCAATTCTTTTTCACTTCTTAACCATACGATTCATGTGTTGGCCCACTTGTGGGTTTAACACAGTATTCTGTACATCCTTCCTTATTGCAGTCTGAAAGTCGGTAACGGTATCTTACCTTACTTAAATTTCTAATTGCTTACTTGATGTCATCTTACTTACATAAGCAAGATTTAGTGAACACTTAGTAATCACCCTTTAATGTTCTATTCTTATAGCTATTCTTATTATTTCATACTGACTTTTTGAGAATTTACGTAGTTGACAGGAAATTTCAGTTCCCGACTTTGTCAACTTTTGAACTCATATTGCATATGAATTTCTTTATTGAAACACCACCCTTTTAATTTTCTCTTATCTGTTTAGAATTTAAGGGTTTTCTCTTTAAATGTCAGAGCGTTTCTCTATATGCTGCTAACATTATACTACACTAAGAGATTCCTAAGATTAGGAGTCTCTAATTGTATATGCACTGAGAATTCTTCCGCCTTAATTGCGGTAAGAGTTTATCAACTGAATTCACTGGTTCTTAAAATATGAACTAATCATAAAACTTGCTACAGAATTTTAGGAATATTGATATTAATTTCATAAATGCTTCAGTCACAAAATACGACAGTATATTACTGAAAAAAGTCCTTGACTTAAATAAATAAATTTACATTATTTAATTTTAGGATTTTCTCGGTCACACCAAAGCACTTCTCCATCCAGTACGTGACACCTGGCGATCCAATCAAAAGCATCCAATCAGCGTATGCCACATGGAATTCCAAATCTCTTTATGAATTTTTTCTCCAATGAGAGCCCAATTAGCTAGATTTTACCCCAAATCAAATATTTGATTTCTCCAAATTAATTGTGAATTTATTTTCTTTATATTTCTTTTGTAATTTTTCATTTTCTTTATTTCTTTCCATTTTGTTAGCAGTCCTGGAACACTATAAACAGAGGGGCTAGCCTAGAGTTTGGGTAGTTTAATTTTTTATTTTATTTTCCGTCTTGCTATCATTCTCATATTTTTTTCTTGAACTTGTGAGAATGTTGTGCAAGTTAGATCAGAGTATTCTTTGGTGAGGTTAAAGATAAACTTTTGTTGAGTGATCCAATTTAGGTTTTGATTTATATGTGCTGTAACATCTTTAAATTCAAGTGAATTCAATCCCATTTATCTTTTATTTATATTCAAAATATTGTGTACCAAATTTTTATGTAAGTTCAGTACACTTTTCTTATGTAATTTTATCATGCATTGTTTTGTTGTTTGAACTATTTTGCAAGTTTAATCTTTTACTGCAATTTTGTTAAGGATATATTGTTGATATTGCATAACTTGTAATAATAATTTTTATAGAGTTAATGTAAGGATTTAATTTACCTGGACACTATTGTTTGTGTATCAAAACTTGGACTGGTAAACGAAATATAAAAGATTTTTAACGCCTTACCGTTGTTAATATTGAATTCTCGTCACACAAAAATATTTCCTCTTATTTATTTTATTTACATGGAAAAATCACACAAATACCACTTTCTTTTATTTATTTAAATTATTTCTCCTTCTAACGTTTTTTATTTTAATAATCCTTTTTGTCTATTTTTGTTGTCTCTCTTATGGATACGACCGTCATTTTGTACTACAATTGACCACTTGTGATCGACACTTTTAGACATTAAACAACAACAACTAGTAATTGTGTTTTGATCTCATCTGTTTTTAGTTTTTGCATTTCGGTTATTTGTGGTTTTGAATAAAAATTAATTCTTAGATTTGTTTTGGTTTTGGATAATGGCAAGTAACTGAATTTTTTTTGTTTGTTTTTTAATTAGATTTTATTTTTGTCTAATTTTATATTAAGACTATAATTGGTTTTTTTATTAATAATTAAGTTTTATATTCTTAAATACTTTTTATAAAGCTTTAATGAGTGCGACGTCAGTAAAATCCGTTAGTATTATAAATAGAGTTAGATGGAGGAGACATTTTAAACTGTTTTCTATAACTTTTGTGGTGTTTTGAATTGTTTAACACATGAGCTTGATACATAATTTAAAAGGCATTTATGAAAATAATACAGGTATAAAATTATTTTGCTACCCTCTATTATAACAAAATATGCTCTTAATACCTTGTATTTTTAATAATATTTAAACGGTATCTCGACATTTTTAAAAATATCTTCTTGATACCTTAAAGTTGATTTTTAGATCATATAATGTCCAAACTATCTTTTTTGTTAATTAAATAGAAATTAATATTTTGTAAAATAAATTTAAAAATATTTTGAAACATTAAAATATTTAAATGAAAACAACAAAATAAAAAAAATCATGATTTTTTTAGATTTATTAGTTTTAGTTAATTAAATACAAGTCACGTCTAAAAAATGAGGGTACTAAGAATATATTTTAAAAAATTTTAAGGTATTATTTTAATATTATAAAGAATACCAAAATAATTTTATCCTAATAATCCATAAAGGAAAAAAAAAAATAGCATGAAAAAACTCGGATAAAAAATAGGGAAAAAAGGGTAACGGCTTCGTTCAATTTGTCGCGCAAGCAGATCAAATCGGAGCGCTTCTCTTCTCGCTCCCACTTTCTTCCTTACTCTTTACATTTATCTCGCGGATCGTAAAACAGAGAGCACAGAATCTCTTTCCTTCCTTTTTTTTTTAATCTGCAAAAATAATTAAAAATGGCAAATCCGAACCAGAAAGCCGAAATCTTTGAACTCAGCAATGGAACAATGCGTGCCTTGATCACGAACTATGGCTGCACCATCACATCCTTGTCTATACCCGACAAAGATGGTATTCTCTGCTTTTGGAAACCCTATCAAATTTAACAATTTCTTCTTTTTATCATTGTGGGAATTACGCTGATATTTCTATATAATATTGAATTTTGAAGGAAAATTGGCTGATGTGGTCCTAGGATTCGACACCCTTGAACCGTATTTGGTAAATTCTGAACTTTTTTTTTGTTGGATTTCCCAATGGGAATTCTAGATTCTTTTATATTCATGATTTTGTTTTTCAAAATTATATTCACGAACTGGACGTGGCAATTATTATTATTATTATTATTATTATTTTGAGAAAATGTTATTAGAGCTTTGACCTCATGGAATTTTTGCTTTTTATAAATGGCAATGCATATGCGATTAGAATGGTTCAGCCCCTTATTTTGGCTGCATTGTTGGTCGGGTGGCGAATAGGATCAAAGATGGGAAGTTTACTCTCAATGGAGTAGAATACTTTTTGCCTCTCAACAAACCTCCAAACAGTCTTCATGGTATGTGGGTTTACCTTATTTTTCATTTTTTTAATCTCATTGTTTTTCAATCTTCTTTGTGCATTGTTGGTTAGGCATTGAAACTTTAGTGGACTCATAGAACTTTTCGTTTCTGCAATTTCAATCTTTCTACATAAAATGGATACTGTAATTTCAATGATTTTTCAATTTCAAACTCGGGCTTGCAAAGTGAGTTCGAGGCATATTTGGATATCAAATATATATATATATATGTACACACACACACACACACACTCATATACCCGCTGGTGATTTTATTTCCTTGACATTTAGTGTTAGAACTTTAGGTGTGAGAACTTGGTTATCTCATTGTTTCATTGAAAATTGAAATATTGTAACGGAAACAGTTCTTAATGAAGAAACTGGCCGAGTTTCCTTTTGTTTGTTGCGTCTATTGTAATGAATCCTGGGATGACCTGTTTCAAACAATCATTAATGCACAAGTTAAGGTAGCGGCTTTCATTAAAATTAGGTTCAAGAATCCTTTGAAGTTCTAGTAGGAAAAATAGACTGCTCATTCCCTTTATTATTTTTATTTTTAAGCATTTTTTTGTTCTACTCTTTTGAATAAATCAAGATCTTTTTGGAGCGTATCCTATGGGTGGTAGAATAGCTGTCCCCTTCTCTCAAATCCATCCCTGCCTTGTTAAGGCTTCAACTATGTACTATGTTAAGAGCTGAACCAAAGGACTCATCCCTTGAAAAGGAGAGGTATTACTTGACAGTTGCCACAACTGCTGGTGGAAAATTGAGAAATATCCTCCTTCGGCATCTTTCTATATGCGCAATTTTATCTTTCATTGTCTTTGTGTATGTATAAATTTCATCTTTTCTTCTCTCTCTCTCTCTCTCTCTCTCTCTCTCTCTCTGGCTTCAGTGCACATTTTCCTGCTTTTCCTTTTCCTTCAGGAAAATGCTGTTTGAATAAACAAATGGTGCTACCAAGTGCGCAATGGTACTACCCAAGTGCGCCCAATTACCCCCATTTTATCTTTTCTCAAACAACTGATCTTAACAAAGAGGGGAACGAAACAAAAAGATGTAAGCCAATGTAACGGTGAGAAGTTGTCTCCTGGTTTGATTACCAACTTTGTCGGATTTCTACAAATCCATGGCAATGTTTGTTTGGTAGAAAATGAAGAGAAAAACAGTAGCTTTTTCATGTATGTTTCATGCAAGTAAAAGCATGACAAAATATACGGTGTCCAGAAAGCACACACCTTGATATATGTTTGGATCACTTGAAAAATGGATATCTCCAATTGGCTATCAAAAGGAAGCATATCTAATTCATGCAGGGTGTTGGTTTCACAGTCCTTTTCTTAGACTTTAGCTAAAAATATTGCACAAAATAATTCTGTTTTTTCTTTCTTTTTTCTTTTGATCCAATTATCCGTGATTTTTATTATTATTATTATTATTTTTTTTTTTTTTGCGTAATTAGGTTTGTATGACGGAGTATGCATTATACTTTTCTTTTCTTTCTTTAGGTGGAAACAAGGGGTTTGATAAGCAGATATGGGACGTTGTTGAATACAAGCAAGATGAGAAAATCACTTTCAAGTATCACAGTCATGATAGCGAGGAAGGTAACTACCTGACTTTCTGATTTCTCCTGCATGCCTTTCTCTCAAACCAAACCTCCTTATAATTTAGTTTTTCCTTGGTTGTAGGTTATCCAGGAGATGTGACCATCACTGCAACTTACACACTTACATCGAGCACAACAATGAGGCTTGACATGGAAGCAGTGCCTGAAAACAAGCCCACTCCAATCAGCTTAGCCCAGCATACCTATTGGAACTTAGCTGGCCACAACTCAGGGGACATACTGGACCATTCAATCCAGATATGGGCAAACCATGTTACCCCTGTGGATCAGAATACTATTCCAACAGGTGAAATTGTGTCAGTTAAAGGGACGCCCTTTGATTTCACTTCTGAGAAGAGGATTGGCAATGATATTCAGCAGGTCGGCATTGGATATGATCACAACTACGTGCTCGACTGTGGGGAAGAGAAGTCTGGCTTGAAACGCGCTGCAAAAGTCAGGGACCCTTCAAGCTCAAGGGTCCTCAACTTATGGAGCAATGCCCCTGGAATGCAGTTCTACACAGCAAACTATGTCGATGGCGTTGTGGGGAAAGGTGGAGCTGTTTATGGAAAGCATTCAGGGCTTTGTTTGGAGACACAGGGTTTCCCGAACGCAATAAACCAGAAAAACTTTCCCTCTGTTGTTGTCCAACCTGGTGAGAAGTACAAACACACCATGTTGTTTGAGTTTTCAGCTGAGTGAAGTGTGAAGTCTTTAAGAACCTGGTCTTCCAAGAGGAGTAAATATTGGAATAAAGTTTGGACTTGCTGTTCTTGCTGCGAAGTGGTTGGAAGATACATGATGTATCCCCTAAAACAGTGTTATGAGATACTTGTGTTTAAATATATCATCAAGGTTCTTTTCTTTTATGATTGCTTTTTGGTGAAATTTATTGTTATACAAGTACAATAAGAGAGGGTTTAAGTATCTTGAATAGATGCGTGCCCTTTTACAAAGTAAGAAAAATTAGTCCAAAGAACTGCGACTATATTTACCACATTATATTTACTCGTAAATATCATATTTATCTAAAAATTCAGACATCGATTACAGCGACTGTGTAACATTGTATTTACCAGTAATTACTGTATTTTCGAGTAAATATCATATTTATCAAAAAATTTGATTACCGACTCTAGCGACCATTTAACACTGTATTTATTAGTAAATATCGTAGTTATTAGTAAATATTATATTTATCTGAAGATCCTGCCACTGACTCTGGCGGCTATTAAACACTGTATTTACTAATAAATATCATATTTACAGGTAAATATAGTATATTCTAAATTGTAACTACTAATATATTTACATGTAAATATAGTATTTATCATGTTTAAATTTGTAGTTACTAAAGTATTTAAATGTATTACAATATTTACCATATACAAATTTTTAACTACTAAAATATTTATTGATAATACAACATTTATCATATATGAAATTAAATTACTAAAATATTTACCGGTAAAATACAATATTTACTATATTTAAACATATAACTACTACAGTATTTTTAAATATATATAATATTTACCATATTTAATCTTTTAACTGTAAAGTATTTACTTATAAATACAGTATTTATCATGTTCTAAAAACAAACTATTAGTTTATCAATTCATCCCAAAAGCTTAAGCTGTTAAGAGGTAGGCCAACAATAGTTTTATACTTTAACACTCCCCCTCACGTGTGGGCTGGATAATGAGCAATCGTGTGAGTAAATTAATTGAAAAGCCCAACACGTGAATATTTAAGCCCGAGATATTAAAGACCCAATATATAATGATAATTTAAATGGGGATAAAGAGTGCAATTATGGAGGTTTGAACTCAGGGCCTCCTGCTCTGATACCATGTTAGTTTACCAATCCATCCCAAAAGCTTAAGCTATTAGGAGGTGTGCCAACAATAATTTTATACTTTAACACAAACTCAAACAAATTCAAAATAAAATTATTCTCAGATTGCAATCACAAACTCATATGTAAATCTGAGATTAAAAAGTATTAACAAATGTAAATCTGTCTTCTCCATAAATGTTCGCCATCGTTGCCGTGATTGAAACGGAGCTTTGTCCTCACCTTCGCGAGAGGGATCACAACTGTTCCCCATCATGCCAAGGACGAAGCTCCATTGTGATCACTCTCAGAGAAGGGAGTGGATAGATGACCAGCCCTGGCTCCTATTTTACCTCTTATTTTTAATAAATATCATTTTATTATTTTAATTATTTAACTAAAAAAATTATGAATAGAATAAAAATTTTGATTCATATATTTTTAAAAAGTATTTATTAAGATTATTTATGAAAAAAATTGATTTATTCATTATATTGTACTACTTTAAATTGTGCACAAAATTTTACATATAAGAATGAAAAACATATTTATTAGGGTCTTATTTAGAGAAATTAAATGAGAAAAGAGAGAGAAAACTCACTCGAATGAAAAAAGAGAAAAAAAAGAACGATTTTTAAATTTAAAAAAAAAAACTCACTAAAAGGTTTTACCAAGGAAACATGATTCAAAATAAAAAAATTAGATAGAGATATGTGTAAGAAAAAATTATTTAAACGAGGAATTAAACAGAAGGTCATTTATGAGGGTCAATTTAAAAAAAGAAAAATGCATAAAAGGGCAAAAAATATAAGAATGTAAAAACTTAAACAAGAAAAAGAAAGAAAAGAAGAAAGAGGGAGATAGTTTGAAAATAAAAGGAAAGAAAGAAAGTAAAAAAAAAAAAAAAAAAAAAAAAAAAAAAAAAAAAAAAAAAAGGTAATAGTAGCCTCTAGCTATTTGACACCTGTGCAGAGAGTTACACGGTCGATACGTTTTATATATAGCCTTTCCTTGTAGCCACTTTGAGAAATGAGAATAACATGCTAAAAGACAATTTAAAATTCGTTTTAAAATAATTTTATTTTTATATAAAAATAAAAATGTAAATATTTTTAATTTCAGATAGAAATTATTTTTAAAAATATATTTAATAATTTTATTAAGAGATTATTTTTAATATAAAAAAATTTATTAATATCTTTCTTTCTCTCTCTGTTCGAGAGAAGAGAAAATAAAAATAAAAAATAAAAAAAAACAATTAAAAATTATTTTTCATTTCTCTCTCATTTTACACTAAATCAAAAAATTATTTTTATTTTTATTGCGCCAAATGTCATTTTGAAAATGTTTTTATTTTTTCTTTCTCAAAACACGTGAAAAATAAAAACGGGATTAATTCTAAACATTGTCAAAATTTCCACTACCGTCACTTGCATTTGTTTTACGAATAATACCTGGGATTTGTATTCATCATGAAGACACGAACCATCAGCAACCAACTGCATTCTATGGAGACTGGAGCTAAAACAGGCCCTTTCAAACCAAAGGTTTTTAATGCCACTAAGGACACATTCGTGACTATTTTGATACTTTTACTCCTATAGCCATGGACACAAATTTCTCTAGTAATTTCAAATTTTCCACCAAAATTTCCGCAATACTAAGTGCTGAAAGTGAAAATTCGTCAATAATAAATTAACGAATTCCGGGATGAACTAACATGATTTGTAGCGAAATAAATGCAGTAAAAAATAATTAAAGAGCAATAAAAGGAAAAACGTACAGAGATTTATAGTGGTTCACTCTCGATTTAAGAGCTACATCTATTGTGAGGAGAAGGAAAAAATTCACTATTTTTTTTAAGAGAATAAAAGTTCTAATGCTTAGAATGAGACTTAAGGGATTTCTTTATGTTGCTCTTAGCCACCTCTCTTGATTTCCCTTTTCTAATTAGGGATAACTTCCTGATCTTTCAAGACAATTTCTCAAAAGATAAATATTATAATCAACGTAGGCAGTTTCTTTATTTGAAATTCATATATTCAAAATACAAATATTGACTTCTAGAGTAAATCTTTGAGGATTCTATTTTCTCCGTAGCCATGACTTCGTAAGCGTATTATTAAGCCTCGACTTCCTAATAACATTCGAGAAGCCTCATCTTCATGCTAATGGATCGATGACGTGGCGCTAGGGCTAGGTTGTTATGGGCCTTAATGGGCTTTTTTATGACTTTTTCGGCCTCTTTATTGGGTCTCTGATTTAATCCCACAAGATTTGCCTCTCAGGTAGAGGCATTCCTCTAGATTGCTTCGAGCTTTGACCAAGAGGATTCTCTGCTTGACTCTTCATTTTAGGGTTTGCTTTCTCGCGAAGGATTCTAGCCTTAAGCAATAAGGCCTATGTCTCTGAAGATGCTTCTCGAGAAGTGTAACAGTCGTGTCAATTACATCATACATCACGTCTCCATCTCAGGCATCTCCTCAACTCCCGCTTATTTTTAATCTGAGCCGTTGGATTGTATTTTTATTTTCTTGCTTAAGCCTTTGTCGTTAGATTGCGACCTTTCATCTCCATTGTTAGATTGACGGTTACTTGATCCAACGGCTGAGAGGTGAGGCTTCGCCACTTTATAAAACGTGGTTCCTAAATGGTTTTTTTATTCGCAAAAACTGTCGAAACTCTGCCCGTTTTCCCCAGACTTTCCCCCTCACATATTTTGAAGGATTTCTGCATCAAATTTGAAGAACTTTTCTTCTCTTTTCCTCATAGTAAATTTCGGCCAGTCTAACTTTCAGAGAGCAAAAATGTGTTCTTAAATTTTCTACAACCTCCTATTTATATAGACTAGTACTTGGAGTCCTAAAGATAAATTGTTTATCTCTTTTATAAGGTTTAGAATTAAATAGGAAATAATATTTAATTTTAAATCTTTTTTAAAATAAAATAAATTCCCAATTATTTTTTAGAACAAATTATCTCTCTCCTACTACAAGATTAAGATAATGAATTCAAGTGACGGAAATTCTCGGATAAGAATATCTCGTGAATTTCAACGTAGAAGTAAGAGTATTGAGATCGGTAACTGGAAACTCCAATTCCTACTAAGTCAGAATGCAATACAAGAAATCAGAATTTATTATTCCGTAAAATCGGGGGTTAAATTCTTGGAAGAACGCTTGTAAAACAAATAATCATGTTATAAAAGTATTCGAAACTAAAGACCCGATCATGCCAATTCATGCCACTTAGTCAATAAAAATAATGGACACTGTCATAAAAACGTGTTGAGACAAATGTGCTAAGATGAATTTATACTGATAAGATCTTTATCACATTAAGAGGTGTCTTAAGAAAGATTCTAATCTAATGGCTAGGACTTGATGAGAATCAAGGGTTAGGATTGAATCTACTATTAAGGAAACAAAAAAAGAAAAAGGGCCTAATATTGGCGCCAATGTGGAGGAAGAAGAAGACAAAAAGATTGTCTCTCCAACACCTACTCATGTATAAGGAAAAGTTTTGATATGGAATCTTACCATATTTGGAAGGAAACTTTGGTTAATAAAACTTTAAACAAAAATGGCAATTATCAAATGGATTAAGAGATAAAGTGTAATAATTACCTAATAATGAGGCCCCGTTCATTTCATCGATTCGAGTTTAGAATCTAAATTTTACTACAGTAAAAAGCTCTCAGAAACAATCACATCTAATTTTTTTTCTACAGTAAAAAGCTCTCACATAAAGTCACATCTCAACTTGAATTAAAAACTCGAATGAGCAAACTAAACGGACCCTGAGAGTGACATTGAACTCTTAATTAATGAATTAAATGGAACTAGTTAGTAACCACTAAATAGGAAGAACATACAGAAAGTAGAGTGAAATCAAAACCCTAGATATCTTATCACATAGACTTTCCATTTCGTTGAGTGTTTTGTGTCTTCTATTGTCTATTGCCTTAAATAGTTTAGTTTAATTTTCCTTTATTTCTCGTATTTACTTCAATTCTGATTGCCTAGATAATATTATTAAGTTACAAATATTCATATCCAATTGACTTTTGCCACTTTATGACTTTTGCCACTTTACAATTGTGAAATATATCTTTTACGTAATGATATCATTGATTTACGTTTCTTAATTGGTTTTCATGTTATCTTAACATAATTGAGTTATAATCTACTACTCTCCGTGATGGTCGTACT